AGAGGATAAGGATAACTTGCCAAAAAGAAAACGCTCTCGGTTAATTAATAGTGTTTTTAGTGATGACGAAGAAAACATTGTTTAACTTATCTTAATTATGAAAAGATTATGAAGATATTTATCTTAATTATGAAAATATACTAGCATGTTTTTTTTAATTTTTGGAACCTTACCCTCCTTTTCGTATTAGTTCTTTGTTTCGTATAACACGGATTCGCATAACACGGCAATTTTTTGGAACGTAACTACCGTGTTATACGGGGGTTACCTGTATATGTATATATATACTTTAGAAGTTGATCTACTATCAAAAACGTTCGATTCAACACCACACACAGTACTCAGAAAAACATCACACAATAGTGCCAGTGCTGCCAGCTAAAACACACACACCAACAAAAAAATATTGGAGTAGCCCAAAATATAGCCAAAGATTGTAGCGCCACATCACTAGCGAAAATTTAAATTTGCAGACTGGAATGGTTTCGGATAACCGACGCTCTACTGTAATAACATATTTAACCAGGGCTGTGGAGTCGGTAGATTTTTACACGACTGCACAGCCCTGGCAGGGCTGTTGAGACAGTCGGAGTCGTGGAGTTTGTGTTTTAGCCGGAGTCGGTAGATTTTTACGCTACTCCACAGCCCTGTATTTAACACTCTTCCATCCCATTAAAACATAAGGGTAGATAGGACCAAATATCAAGATGTAACTTTTATAATAAAATGTCAAGTGATATGGATATCGTCCCTATTGTTCCAATCCAGATCTGTTCCTGATAGAACAATATACTAATATTAGGAACGTCAATGTTGAAAAACTGGTATAATACTATGCTACACTGCTATAGAGCAGAGGTGGCAAACCTATGGCACGCGTGCCCAAAGTGGCACGTTGAAGAAATCATCCGGCATGTAACATATTATACGATATCGGTTTATTATCTTTTTCAATCAGGTTCTTTACATTTACTCTAATTACAGCATATTATTTTATTTATTTAAATATAGTTTTATAAAACTCTTTTTGCTCTGTGGGCACTAAGAGGGCTTTTTTATTTAGCTAACTCCAAATGGAACAGTTAGATCACCACCTGAAAATTTTCTGGGGTTTTGATCTTGGGTCTACAAGAGTGATAAGCTACCATTTTGACCACTCGGCCATTCCGCCAAATTTAAATATAGTTACTAGAAGTCTAAAACTTCTGCATGCATAATCATTTTTAAATAAAAGTATGCTTGATGTGCTTACTATGTGGCATGCAGACTCAAAAAGGTTTGCCATCCCTGTCATAGATCATTTCAGTTCTAGCTAATGGTAATCTGTAATATGTTTGGGATCAACTTTTACTGCATGATAGATATAACTAAAAAATTTGAAATAAAAAGCTTGAGCTTGTCATACATATCATTTTTATGGTAGTTAAAATGTGTTTAACAGATAAAATACAATTGCATAATGCATATGCTGATCTTCATCTATCAAAACTGTAAGTGACATGTTCTATGCTATGTGTAATTATGTTAAGACAATGTATTGGACCTCCAGTAGTTAGATAACCACTGTTTCATGGAATTTATTACTGGACTGTTTACCAAAACCTTTGTTAATAAATTAATGAAATAGAGAATACACATTTTAAAACATAGAATTAATTTCTAAAAGATTGCTAAAAGTCACATTCCAACATGAAAGTAACACCAAAATTATTTTTATTAATTAATACAACCTGAAATACTTTTGTATATAAAGATTATCTGAGAGTTTTTTAATTATTTTTATGAATTTTAATCTTTTCTCATTCTACAATTTATTTTGTTAACATGCTGTCTCAAAGCTTCATCCATAATTTCGTAAATACTCACACAGCCTTTTATTGTTTGATCCATTAATTTATTCTGTAAATCAATATGCAATCGCCCAAAAGATTCTGCCAAAACAATCTCTTCAGTTTTTGGGAGAATGGCTATAATTAATGTAGGTGTTCCAAAACTTTCTTCTTGATAATTGATGTCAACAATAGGTTTATCATTAATGAGTCCTCCTGAGCAGGAGCAAACATAATCTTTCAAAGGAATTCCAGCATCAGCTAGAGCTAATGTACCAGCATTAACACAGGCACTATAGTTACCACCATCAGCTTGAAGAACCTGAATGAATTTAAATTTTAAAAAATTTGAGTTTATTTTTACTATTATTATAAAGTTAATCATTAAAATTAATAAACAATTTAAGACTATACAATTAATTTTACAATTATTGTCCTGGCAATTTTATCAAATGTATATTTTATTTTTTATTTGTGCTGTCACTGGAAGGAAGTCCTGTAACATTTTGCATAATGACGCTGATGAGCAGACTCTAATAAAAGGTCTACTCCTCTGCAAGACTGTTAATTTCCTGAGGTGTGAGAAAGAACATCAAAAGACTTTATTGTACAGTCTTAAATTGTTTATTAATGATGAGCCTGACATTGCTTGGGGAAAAGATAACATTACAAATATTAGAAAACAAACATTAAGAATATTAGATTATTTTGTACTTCTAACCCTTATATTATATTATAGTACTTGATTTATGTAACTATGAACATTATCTTACATATGTAATCTTATCTTATCTCTACTTATACACTAATATTAGTATTGTACATTGTCTGGTGATTATTTTATGCTATATAAAGCCTTATCAATTATGTCATGCTATATAGAAGCTATAATGGAAATGCTATACATTATCCTATGCATATGTGTGTAAATAGTTCATATAAATAAACAGGTATTGTTTGCGTTGGATCTATGGTTGAGTGCATTCCTTTGGATATGCAGTCTCTCGGCCATCCTCCATCCTAAAATCTGACTGCTTGCATATGTGACCTATTGCAAAACTGTAAAACGCTCACGTTGAGCAACAATGGTGTCAGTCCTGATGTAGGCATCACCGATCCAGTGCCGACCCTTCAGTCACAAAAGTACGTGATCAAAATATTCTAAATGATCTGCAAGATTGGACATACCAAGGCAAACTATAGCAACATCAGGGTTATCGGTATATGGGAGATTACAGAATTTATATATCAAAGAATAAACCTAATTTAATTTGGGTTGAACTTTGTGAAATAAATATGGAGCAGTCATTGCCCAGATGGGTAGACAGTGATCCACAACTGACTGAAAATTCATTTTAAAAAAAAATTGTTCTTAAAACAGAATTTGAAGAAATATTTTTCCAGAAATGCCAGATAATACCTTGTTTAATAGCAAGAAATTTAATAATGTGAGAAATATGACCATGAAAAATTAATTTTTTGTCAGATATGATGCCGAGATCACGATGAGACTTAATGTAATTTATTTTAATGGAATCGATATAAACTGAAGGGCAGTACGGGTTGCAAATTAGAGAGAAACACATAATAACTGTTTTGTGAATACTGATTGTTAAATTACTGGCAAATGTAGAGCATATGGAATTAATATCAGATTGTAAGGAGGAAGGATCATTAAATAAAATTTTAATGTCACCTGGAGGACAGGTTAATAAATAGTTTATCTATGTATGCTGAGAAAAAGAGCATACTTAGTATTGAACCCTGTGGCATGCAACGAACAGGGAGAAAAAGGCAGAAATTCGAAGTCACCAATATAAATCTTAAATGATCTAGACAGGAAATAGTTATTTAACCAACAGCAGTGAGCTAGATCTAAGTCAAAATAATCACTAAGAGTAGTAAGAAGTAAGTTTGAAAGAACTGAATTGAATGCCTGGAAAATGTCAAAATATATTATTTAAGTGGATTCCTTTTTCTAAAAATTTTGCAAAATTGTGTAAGTTGTTTTCAAAAAGGTTAGTGATGGTAGAGAGGTTACAAATGTTGCAGTATTGTTGAGAGGAGATTCTGGAGGTTATTTGTGCATATATTTTGTGTTATAATCATGTTTCAAATATTTTTACCATGGTTGGTAAGATAGTGACTGGTCTATAGAAGGTACGGTACTATCTTTTTTGGGTAGTGCATTTATTTTTGAAGTTAGCCACTAATTTGGGACATAGCTCAAGTTTAGTAGCCTAGTGAACAATTTGGAGAGAATAACAGCAGATATTGCATTTAGCTTTGAGTAAAATGAGAAGGAATTGAATCTGGGCTGTAATTGGAGTTATTTAGTCTCTCTATGGCTAATGTAACTTCAGAAAAAGAAATAACAAAATTATGTTTACATTGTTAAAAGGATAGAGATGAAAGTCAGTTTCAAGTAGGAGACAAAAATATCTAGTCTTGATATTATAAATATCGTAAATTTTATCATCAGGAATGGAATTGTGTTTTGTGGAAGTTTTTTTTTTTTTAGAAAATTTAGAAATAAAACACCAGCAGGTATGGTGATCTGAAGCTAAGTTAGATACATTTCTGTTAAAATATTCTTTGGAAGGAAATATGAAGTTCACAATAATAGCATTGTTGTAGAATTCTGTGTATGTAAAGATCACAAGGGTTACCATATTGTTTCCATTTAGTCCATTGTTTCAAATAGTATTGGAAAGTTTCTTGAGGTAGAGAGGAAGTCATTCATGAGTGGAAATTTTCATTTTGCAGACCTGTAAGAACTTATTGATTATGATCATAAATAAATTGTAAATTTTATCTGTCAATTTCTGAGGAGAAATAGGAGAATCCAGGAAGATCCAATCAATTGAGCAGAGGAAATTTGAGTCCTCTGCTCGATTGAATGATGACCAATTAGGGACATTAATGTATCTAGCAGGTTGATGTTTGTGTGTATTTAATTGAATGTCAAGGCGTATGGCTTTGTGATCAGAATTAAAACCATGAACAAGGGTGATAGACATGGCACAATTGAAAATGAAAGCAAGGTCTAAAAAATTGTTAAGGCAAGATGGAAACAATATTTCTTGCTTGAAATGAAAAAACTAATAAATATCATTAATAAAAATTGTTCAATCTGGTCAAGGGAAGAAGATGGCCCACTTGATGTCCAAAAAATGTTAGGGATTTTAGAGATACTTTTAGATGGCCGAGTATCTGAAACAGTCAAAACTATAAAATATTTTTAAACATTTCCTGTATATATACAGTGTGTCCCAAAAGTATATACTGTATAACCAACATTTTACTGCTTTTCAGAATTGTTAGGAATTTAAAAGAAATGTAAATGATTTCGTTTGTATATACAAATTACTTTACACTAATTTTTGATAATTCAAAATTAAAGATCATTATATTAATTAATAATTTAATGACAAAAATACTGTATTTGGATTTCCCAAAAGTATAAATAATAAAACAAAATTGCAAAATTTGAAGTATAAAAAACTTAAAATTACAAAAATAAAAATACATGACATCACATAACACTTTTATTTTGTTATCAAGTAGTAATTTCAATATTGAATCAAAACTTTCCAAAATGCCACATGGAAGAGAGTTTATTATGGAAGAAATTGCATAAATATGGAAATTGAAAGCAGAAGGATGTAATGTCAAGGAAATTGCTGTTTTAATGAACAGATCTATTCCCGAAGTTTATAAAATTTTGGGAAAACATCATCAATACCTTCTAAACATTGATCAGGAAGACCCAAAATTACATCTCAAAGGGATGATAATTGAACTGTGCACTTTGCATCACAACAGGATAAATCAGTTTGTCAAATTTTGTGTGAAAGTAGATTAAAAATATCAAAAAGCATTGTTCATCAAAGAATTTCAGCAGATCCACATATGAAATTTGTTGCTTTAATGAAAAAACCATCACTAACAAAACAATGTTAATTGGCAAAAATGTAGTGGACTAAAGATCTCATGCTGTGGAATTCTGTCCTTTTCAGTGATGAAAAGAAATTTAATTTTGATGTGCTCATTACTGGCATGATATTAGGAAAGAAGAATGCAGTTTTTCAGCAGATCACAGGATGGTGATTCTGTTGTAGTGTGGAACTACTTTGAATTTAATGGATTATCAGATTTAGTGACTAACTAGTAGACAGCCATCTAAAAGTTATCAAGTGCTGAAAAAAAATTGCAGCCAAAGTTTTCAATGCAAAAACATGAATGTCAGACGTTCAGTACCACCTTTCTGTAAGGCTAGAAGTTTGACAATGGCGTTTGGAATGTTGAGCACGATTCCAATGACATTCTGAATGCCATCAATCTTAAATGATTTCATCCCTTTATCAATTCATATCCTGATAAGGTATAATTCTAATAATTAATATATCTTATGGTTATCTAACTGTTATATAATTCACAGAGTATATGTATTACCATCTCCCTTACCTCAAAAAATATATCAATTTGTGACTTGGGAAACTGTTTAATCAATATAGCAGATTCAAACGTTTGACGAAGTTGCAAGCTAATCTCTTGAGACTTTTTATCACCTCGAGGTCTCTTCTTCCTTTCTCCTGTACTAAAAGTTGTCATACTATATTGACAATTTAATAGCACTCTGTCGTAAAGTGCCTTGGACTTACTACCTCTAACCTATGTAAACAAAGCAAAGCATGCCATTCAGGGTAAGTTCAATAGCAAATAATTTGAAGGTGTAATTTTTACCTCATGAGGACCATAAACGGCGGCGAGAACTTTAGTATTTCCTTGCTCCAAGTATGCAGAACCATCGGCTTGATCAAAAACGCCCAAACGACAATTAACTTGTCTTAGTTCATCGGCTTTTCGTCCATCTATTCGGAAACCTTGATCGAACAACAGCTCCTGCTCCATGTTAAGTGAAAAATATCCTTACGCCATCTAACGGGAATATCACCTATTTAAAATAATGTATTAATCGCTTTAGTTCCCAGCAATTTTTGATATTAATGTAATTAAACATAAAAAATACTTAAAACTGAAAAAAACAAAAGAAATGCGTTAATTTTGAAGAAAAAGCTTCAAATTTTATTTTCCATTGTCTCGCCTTTCTGTGAAATCTGACGCTGATGAGTCATTGTGTTTACAGCTGGATGACCTTGAGAACAGCTGGTATTGGATTTCCCGGGACATTCTCATAGAAGTTTCGGGAAGCGAAGGGTTTAAAGTAGGGTGAATACTAGCTGGCCGTATATTTTTGAATATTTTTAAAAATTAAAATTTTTATTGCGATTTCCGACCCCCCCGACTTAATTAAACGTATATATAATAAAATATATTAATTAAAAAATTAAAAAACTATTGGAGGTCTTTTTTGATATCAGAAACTAGCTTTAAATAACTTTACCGAAGTAAAATCCGTGCACTACAACTTTAGAACGATTAATTAAATTTGATTAAAAAAATCACATTAAAAAAACAATTAAGCGTTAATCGCGCGTCATTAAAGGTTGATTAAAATCTCGATAAAATTTTTTCGCGCGGGTAAAAATTTTTGAAAAAATTTGGAGACCTAAAAAACATCCAAAAATTGAAAAAAAAAAAATTTCGGGGCCCAAAGGCCCGGGTTTTATGTAACGCTATATAACTTGCCCGAGTTAACTCGGAAGAGGAACTAAAGGTGTTTTAAATCAATAAAATATTGTATTAAATTTAAATGTATTCTATAGGTATAATTATTTATATTTTTGTTTTATGAAAATAATTATTTTAATCTATAATATAAGACATTTATTAAGTTCATTGCTTCGATAAAACACGTTTTATAATAGAGCACGTCCATAGAGCGCTAAAAAAAAGAGAGTAAAGCTCACTATCTCGGGAAAAATACAATATACAAAACGAGATAATAGATCTGCTGCATCAAAGTGTAAAGTCTCATATTATTGATGAAATAAAAAAATCAAAATATTTTTCCATAAATTTAGGCTATACTCCTAACATTAGTAAGATACAGCAAATGACTCTTGTAATCAGATACGTTTCAATCAATAAATTTGACGCTGATGTTGAAATTAAAATTAATGAAAGCTTTTTAGGCTTCTTATCAGTCGAAAGATCCACAGGAAAACAAATGTCTGATATTATAATTGGAGAACTTAATGACTTGGGTTTAAATTTGCATGATATCAGAGGGCAGGGAAACGACAACGGGTCCAATATGAGGGGCGATAAAGCAGGAGTGCAATCTAGAATTAAACAATATAATTCGCGAGCATTCTATGTTCCGTGTAGTAGCCACTCTCTCAATCTTGTTAATGATATGGCTAAAGCATCCTTGGAAGCCGCTAATTTCTTCAACACGGTCCAAAAAATATATTTATTTTTTTTCGGCATCTACTTTTCGATGGGCAATACTTTTAAAACACATTCAAGGCTTAACTTTGAAACCATTGAGTGACACTAGCAGGGCCGGATCATCGCATAGACAAATGAGACAAATATCTAGGGCCCAGTTTTTAGAAGATCCCGGTCAAACTGTTTATTTTGAAAACATTTGTAAATAAAATTCTTCAGATAATTTAGATTTTTTTTATAGCAATTAAATATTTCTTATTAATAAAAAATTAACATTTGTTTTAGTTTTTCACATTATTTAGTTTTGTTTTATTTATTGTTTTATATTATTTGTGTGCTTTATTTCTTGTGGGAGAGGGGGGCCCAGTAAAAAGAAAGTGTCTAGGGCCCCAAAGTGGGTTAATCCGGCCTTGGACACTAGATGGAAGAGTTGGATAGAGACCTTAAAGCCTTTGAGATTTCATTTGGGAGATGTATACGACGCCTTGCTAAGCATTTACGAAAACCAAAAAATTGATAATTTAAATTAATAAGAGATGAGGCCTCGGGTTTATTAAATTGTATTAAACAATTTAAGAGTTTGTGTTCGTTAGTTATTTGGCATAAAATACTAAATTCCATTAATCCAATAAGCAAGTTTATGCAAACAAAAGATTTTGATCTAGCCTTTGCACTTGATCTTTTACAAAACTGCAAAATATTTTTTAAGAATCTTCGATCGGATTCGTCCTTCGATGAAACTATTATTGATGCTACCGAAATTGATGTAGAGGCTAATTTTGGATCAACAATAACACGACACCATGTTAGAAGAAAGAAAAGAAACTTCTTATACGAACCCATCAAAGATTCAAAAGAAAAATATAGAGTTTTTTTATTTTACAATCGATCAAGCACTAAATGCACTAAATGCTAGATTTGAACAACTCAGTAATCATAGTAACTATTTTCAATTCTTATATAATATATACGATTTAAATATCATGTCCAAAGAAATGCTACTAAAACACTGCAAGAATTTAGAATGCATTTTAACTGATGGTGATTCTGTTGACATAAAAAGGGTAGAGTTAGCAGAGGAAATTTCAGCAGTATCTGCACTTTTGGGCAAAAAAGAAAGCCTAAGCAATGTATACTGAGCTTAATTACAAAGTTAAATTTTGCCCCAAATCTTACTATTGCTAACGATGCCAATAACTAGCAAGTGTCGAATGGAGTTTCTCTAAGTTAAAATTAATTAAGAACTTTTTACGTTCGACTATTACACAAATCGTCTTAATGGTTTGACCATGTTGGCAATTGAGCATGAAATTGCTGATCAAGTAAATTTAAAAGAAACAATAAAAAAAGTTTGCAGAACTGAAAGTAAGAAAAAAGTTTTTTGTGATTTTAGCGGAGTTGATGTTATCTTGTTTTATTTTCAAAATAATGGCATTTTGATTGCTTGTGCAATAATACATTTTTAATAGCATTTAAAAAAGTTAACAAATTATATGGTTAACAATTTGTGGCTAAGTACAAATATTTCTTAATTTCTACTGTTTTGTACTGCTTGATTATTAATGTTATGTTGTATGTTTCTTTCTAAATATATGGTTGTATTAAAATTTAAATAAAATCGAATCTTAAATCGATTTTGATTTTATATCTTTATATTGAAGGTATTCTGCTATATGTTTTTTTTAGTAATTTATTTAAAGACTTGTAATCATACAAAAATGATAACAAATATTGATTTAAATAGTTTATCCATAACAATTCTAAATAAATATATCAATTTTTCATCTTTATGGAAAATATCAGAATAAAGTGAAAATTTTACCTATTTCTATAGAAATTTATTTAATATTATATTAGTTTGGTGTAGTTTTCCTGTGACTTAACATTTTTTAAAGTATTTTATACACTTCTTCTTTGACACGGTTTATATGGGAATGCAAGCCTTTTGGCCTGTTCTCTGATGTACTAAACTTTCGTACAAATTATTCGTTGTATATTAAGAAAAAAAGCGTCTTTACTTTTGTCATATTTTACTATCTAAACAATACAGCGCAAGTTTTTAACATCGCTTTATTTTACTTTTCCGGCTGTTATACAGATGGAAAGTATTATAATCTAGCAATAGAAAAAGACCTATCTGCAAATTTTTAGATTTTTGGATTTAGGACTGTTGAAACGCCGAGAAATGCAAAAAGATTCGAAGGTAATTTCTGTATGTATCTGTTAATGTGTGTGGGACACGATTTTCTTCACTCTGTTTGAAGCTTGATAACTTCTATGCTTTTTTGCCGAAAATTTCTGAAATTTTGCAGGGAGGTTTTTATGAGGACTTATTTATATTACTGTTATGTTTATTCAATTAAAAGGATCGAACATGAACGAAAGAAAAGCCGCTCAAAATGACATCTTAACGGATAACAGTATAATGGACCGTACAGAGTTTGCCTAATAACATTAACATTAAAAAAGTACAGATTGCAACAATGTTATATTTAATGAAAAGAAAAGTTTAATAGTGATGTTTTTAGGTCACGTCTGTATACAGTAGAACCTCGATTATCCGGACTAATTGGGGATGAAGGTAGTCCGGATAAGGAAAAATCCGGATAATCAAAACAAATACTTTAATTTGTCTTAATGATAATACAACACGTTTTCTTTTCGATGGCATAACGGTAATATTAAAAGTAAATACTGTATTTAAATCGTGTGCAAATTTTNTTCCAGGATGAGAGTGGGTACATTCCTGTTGTGCTATGCCCTGACTATATGATGTTTGTAAGAGAACTGAAGTTTGCAGGATGTCATACACAGGAAATACACTTTCATCTTGGTCACTTCTCTGGGGAATGCCATTAGTAGTAGTAGTAGTAGTGGTAGTAGTAGTAGTAGTAGTAGTAGTAAGATACAGTTCAAGTCATTTTATGAGATTTCACGTATTGAATGCTATTTTATTTTAAACAAATCACATCAGTAATTAGAATTTAAAAATAATTTTATTTCATATTTTTACATTTACATGATGGCAAGATTTTTGAAAACAATATCAAAATATAATTAAAAAATTGCTGCAAATTATTTTCATAGCAGTACTGAAAATTAATTTATATTTAATAATGTATATTGAAGGTATTAAATTTAATATATAATTCTTTCATTTAATATAACATTTAAACTGTAGAATATAATAAAAAACTGAAAATAATACTTTTTGAATCATTTTTAACTTCAGTCAAAGTCATTATTCTTTGACAGAATTGTTTGCATGGAAGCTAAAGTTCAAATTATTAAAATCAATGAAAATTATATAATTTTCAATTATTATATATTAATAAATACATTTTTAAAATAAAATTTTATATAAAATAGAGGTAAAAGGTAAATATAAACAAGATACAGTACCAACTGGATTATTGATGTAAATAAGACAGAAAAAAAATGGACTTTGCTTATAAGCAGCATTAAAACTTTAATAAGTAATGTTTTTTTGAGTAATTTCATAATCCTTCTTCAGGTTCAAACATGTGTAGAATACATCACACATGGATATTCTATCAGTTTTAAAAAATACTAAAATAAAATATCAAT